TCCATCTTGTTGGAACATCAGCTACAAGTTGATCAGCAGTGGTAGCATGTGACTTGGGCATTGGCATGTCTTCATGGATAGTTTGGTCTTGAATTAAGTAATTGACAACAGATGAAGTGGCCGGATCAAGATCATTGGTTTCATTTGAATTGGCAGGACTGGAGGCAGTGGCTGGGTTTAAAGAGTTTGCAAGTTGTTGCTTTGCTTTGACGATGGCGGCAAAGGATTGGCCACGCTGAGGGCTGGAGCGGGTACATTTGACTAGACCATGGCATAGGTGGTAGATAGTTTTAAGATTAATTTGACTTGAATTGGGTGGGTCAATAAGGTTATGGATATTTGAAGTAAGTTGAGCATCATCATCTTCGTTGAGCACTTCGCCAAACACCTTGAGGCCATCTTTGGCAGCTAGATTGATTACATGGGCCACACACCCATGACTTGAGTGTTATAATCAAAAGGAATATCTTCTGACATTGAAATTACTCAAACGATTGCCGCATTTGTACTGACCTTATCAGCCGTCATGGCACACAATTTACGAGTGAGAGCAAACTTCTTTAAGTAATCAATGATGATCGGGCCTAGATTGGTTGCATCATGTGAACCTAGACAATCAGGAATGTTTTAAGAAATCAATCACAAGTTATGAAGCAAATCAAAAAAAGAAGACTGACCTTGAATTTCTGCAGTGCCAAGGGTAACTTCAACAAGCTCCCAGTCCTTAGTGATGAAATGACCGTTAAGAGACATGAACACGGCGTTGTTTGGAGACGTCCATGTGTCTTGAGTTATCGTGATTGCTTTGCAAGGACCTAGATAGAACTTCTTCACATAATCTTTGTAGTGATAGTAGGTTTGGCGCATGTTGTTTGACTAGCATGCCCTCGACTTTTGGGTTTGCTAATTGAAGCAAGTCTTGAAAAGACCGTTGTTCCATGATTGAGAACGGAAGGTCACATTCCACAATAAAGTGTGTCAGTGCACTCTTGAGGGTGTGAGAGTTGAGACCGTTCTGACCATAGTTGTTAAAAAGAATCAATCAATTTGTGTCTTTGAAAGTGGAGGTAAGATCAATAAAACCAAGACTTTTACTGGGTGAATTGTTTCAATCTTCTTGAAAGATTGAGCAATGTCATATTGATTCAAAAGATTGCCTTCACAAACGCCATGCTGAGTTTCAAGGTGGTTGCTCATTGATTTAGTACTCGACCTCTTATCTTGAGACAACTCTTTACCACAAGCTTGTCCATTCTTCATAATGAAGTGACACTTATTGATTTGCTTGTTCGGTACCTTCTTGAAATAGGTCCACACGTGGCTTGGTTGGCGAATGGTTGTAGTGGAAGTATTGGTAAAATCGGAATCCTGCGCTGACTCTTTATCAGTCGATACCGTTGATCCCGAGGCGGAAAAGCTGTTGTTGGCTTCAGGCATCATGTGAGATTGATGTTGAGTTGATTGAACGGTGACGATAAGGTTTTAATCTGGGTATTGAGCGGTGATCATTAACTTTCAAGTGATGATATGCATTGACTCTCAAGGTCGGATGAGGAATCTTGTGAGGAAATACAAAGGAAAAAGAAGATTCTGGAACGTTTGAGCAAAACTTCCAGAATTTTCAGAAATATACCGGATCTCCGGCTACCCACCGGATTGGATGTCGGATGCTAGGATTTTTCAAAAAAATCTGACTGGTTATTCCTCCGAGGTCCGGATTATACTTTTTATCCGTTGGATTGGGGGTTGGGCAAGCCAGAAGGGCCCGGATTGTGACCGGATCACGGGTTGAACCCTTACCAATACCTGTGATTGTTCCAGAGATCACATCTTATGAGCTGGATCTGCTGCAGCAATGCATCAAGAACGCCCAAGCCCCCTCTTGGCCTACCAAACCCTGGGGTACCTTTGGGATGACAAGTGCTGGGACTCCCAAAGCAGCAGAATGGCATTCTTTATACAAAGTCTACATTGTACTTGCTTGGGTCCCTCACTTTCTTAGTGGTGAATCTGGCACTATTTCAGCTAAGATCCTTGCCAGCCTGCTCCAACTCATTCAAATTGGCAACATATGTACCTTGCATAGTTTTCAACGACACAACAGTGAAAAGATTGGTAACTTGGTTCATGGCTATCAAGCCACCCTTGGAGATGGCTGGCCACATATCAAGAAAAAATCCAACTTGCATTTTACAGGACATATTGGTGAAATCTCAGCAAGGCTTGGCCCACCAGCTTATACTGCTAGCTGGTCAGGTGAGCGAATAATTGGAAGCCTGGTTCAGACATCTAAGAATGTAAATATCTGTCAGTCTTTTTTGGCCCTCTGTTGAGCACCCAAATTAACAGCAGCTGATTCCAATCCTTGACACTTCAGAAGGACAGGGTGAGACATTACTTCACCAACACGCCAGACAGGGATTCTTCAGAGCAATGATTAACAATAGTCACTCTGCCATGAAGGCCAATCCAATCCTCTGAGATTACTTCCAAAGGAACCGCCAGTCAAGGTGGACTATCAAGAAGCTCAGTCCTGTAAGCTTTCAGGCACTCCAGTGTTTCAATCATCTTGAGGCTAGTCACACCTTCAACTCAAAATTTAATGTTACTTCATCCATCAAGATCTTGAACAAGGCACAGCACTCACAAGACAACACCTGGGAATAGCTACATTACATATGCCCTGAACTCTCAAAGATGGACCGGATGTATCACTGAAATAGTCTGGCTCAACAACCTGGCTGCACCACTGCTTGTTGTGCATTCACTAAAGTCACTGAGTCATCAAGACCAGCACAAGAATCTGTACTCTTCCTTACCGGACTTACTGAACACTACTGTTGTTTATGATTCACATGAGGAATATCATGTCATTCAAGTCAAGGACATAATTGGACAGCTAGTTGTGATGAAGAACCCCAGTGGTACATTTGATGTTGACAACACAACACTTTCAATTGTTGGCTTAGCAAATATTGTGAGTGATTGAAGGGACTCAATGTGTTTCTATATACTAATTTCTTTCATATCCACTCTTAGGGATTTGTGCAAGACAGCCACGACAAAGATACCATGGATATGGAGTAACATTAATGTGTATGTTAAATTTGTAAGATATTCTGGACATGACCACTTTTATAGGGTAATTGTAATTCAACATAAGCTATTGTAGGAGAATAGAACGTAACCTGAGCACATAGTTGATTTCTTGATATGAGATGGATCCATGTCACTTGTGCTGGATCTTATGTCCAGCTGAAGTTACATTGAAGCTTTCTTGAAATCTTTCTAAATCTTTCATGAATCTTTCATGAAGTAAGTGGTAGGCTCTGGCCTGCCAGAGCCCAGTAGATGGGGGCTGTGAATAGTGACAATGAATGTGCAGATATTCTTTGTTGCGTCCCAAGACTGGTGTGTAGTAGTATTGTTCACCTCCCTGGTTGTAGATACTGGGTCTATACATAGTCTCACAGGCAGGGTCTGGTATAGTGGGGAAGAAATGTCAGTGGTTTGTTTCCAATCAGGCCTGCAGATCAACAATACATCACACACAGTTAGCAAGGCGAGGGAGGATCTTACTTGAGCAACACAAGATCACAGTCTCAATGGGGTGGACACCATCAATGTCGTGTAAGTAGCCGTTCACGCCCGAATGGACGTGTAACACATAGGAATGGTCTGTTGTGCATAAGATACAATTCAAAAGCGGTGAGCGTAAGAACCTCTTGGGCAATTGAGTCGATTTCTGCTGAGGTCCAAACTCGCGGATTAGAGCCGTTGGATTGATCTGGCATGCGCTCAGGACAGGGTAGGATAGTCGCCAAAGTTCTGACATATGATGGTTGGGCGGTTGAACTGATAGTGCAGATTCAAAGAAATTTTCCAAAGAAAATTGAGCTGGCAAGAGATGTAGGAATTCCACGGCCTGATGATTGACTTCGGCCGCCAGCAATGCAAATTGCACAAAGTCGCCTACTGTGAGAGTTGCCAAGAGGTGAGGATATTGAGAGATCAGTTGCAGAGTAAGTTCTTGTAGGAGCATCCTGTGGTGTCTGATTGAAGGATATTATCACTGTTATATGTATTGGGAGAGGGGAGAGGTAGATCGACTGAATGGGGAGAGGCTAGGGTAGATAGATTGATGGAGAATGTCACGGGGTGGGATGTCAGGCCGCGGATTTAAATGACTTGGTATGACAAAAGAGTTTTTGTGGCCTAACGGTAAGTCGTAAATGGGTAAATGTTGAAGGTGTTTTACATACACATTTTTTGGTATTAGCCCATAGTTCATGGGTTTGTTGAGGTTTCATTCTCAGACGAGTCTCAGCCTATCCAGGACCCCAGAGAGCTCCTGTAGAGGTGCGTGATGTAAAAGATTTTATTTTCTTATGCTTGCTGTGAATTGCTGTGTATTTCACAGCATCCACACCACGTTAAAAACTCTTCACAATTGTGACAGTGTAGGTATGAAATTCACAGTCAACAAAGTGCTTTGCTTCTGGCTAGGCATTATTGAGGGAGAAGCAAGGGATCTGGTGAAGTTTCTATGAATGTAAACTGTGGTGAAGTGTGTGTACTGTAGGAAAAAAAATTACATCATGCACCTCAATAAGAGCTCTCCAGGGTCCTGCCTATCCCCCAGTTCTTCGGTCTACCACTTAGAGCCACCGTAGTATGTATCCCGCAAAATACGAGCTCCGTTGAAGATGCTCTTGCCGGACCGGGTCGGCCCATTCCACATCGGTGTCGGCACTTGCTAGGTCAGACTCCTCCGGGCCAGGACCGGTGTACATCAGCCTCAGGCCCGCGGTGAGACTGGGCGACGAATTGAATTCATCATCTTGATGTATTCCTCATCAACATGACCCTCCTTATGCTACGATCAACTTTTATTTATTAACGACCCTTTCTCACCTTTTCTACTCATTCCATGTCGATTTAACATCACACGTTATCACAACTACCCAGCCTCAATACTTCATCACCTGGTTATCACCGTTATGTCTCACACGCCTACCAAAACAACTCATCCTCCGCAAGAAAATGTCACTTCGCCCATCGGATCTTCCCTGGGTCACAGCCAACCCCCATCGCTTGGTGGGCCGCGTCTTAACAAGGCGCGGAACGAAGAGATGCACCGACGGCATAGCAGCATCAGCTACCGGAAAAGTCCGCCCGAAGAACCCAACCCCATTCGATTTCACCATGCGCGCTCATCTTTAGCATCAACTTGGACACCACCTCATCTTGCTCACAATCGATACAGCCTTCAACTAGCCACTCTGAATTTGTATGATCACCTTCAGAACGCCGGGCAAGTTGCGGAAAGTCCCGGACAAGTCCAAAGTGGCCTACCAACATCCAAATCCTGGGCCTCTTCTGATGGATTCGTCGTTCAGACCAACCACACTGACGGTAGTAGAACGGGATCGATCAGCACAACAACATCCAATCCATCATATGTCGCTCCGAACAGAGGGATGAGTCTTGTCGAGCAACACGGAGATCTATTGACATTCATAGCCAAGAAGGAGCGCAGGTGTTTGGACCTTAGAGAGGGTATCCAACGACCTCCTATACACTCGGCTGTTTTACCTGTCATCCACGTTTAACTGACATCATGATCCTTGGCCTTCACGTAGAACTACAGAAATCTGAAGAAGAGCTGCGTAAATTAAAGAGAAAATGGGAAATCGTCATTGGAAGATCTTTGGCCTCTCCCACTATGGCCGCCGGTGTTTCCTCTCCGGTCATAGACTCTCGACGACAAACATCAACCTCAGGTTCAGTACCAGAAAGGCAGCCTGGTTCAAGCCCCTCGTCAAACTCCATTCCTGCCACTCAGCAGGAAGCTGCCCGTCAACAGCAGGACCTTACGGAAACTCATGAGGTGGAGCTTCGGTCACTTCGATCGCCTCATGAAGCTGGATATCCCGACCCTCCTCGACAAGATCTGAACTCATGGGACCCTTTTCTACAGCACATTGAGCCCGTTAGCTCCGTAGCCAAAAAATGGGTTGGCGGCATTGGGAAAGGATTTTTAGACCTTCTTCAAGAAGCGCACGACAATCCTTGCCCATCCCCTTCACTCTTACATAGCCGTCCTGCGCGAGATGGTATACCTTCTGCGAATAAATCCACCCTTCATGACAAACAAAAGTTGGCCACCCTAACAAGTCCATCCATGCCGACAAAGCTGCTCCTTGAAAAATCAATCCAAAATCGAGTTGAGGCTGTCTCAAACACCCTCCAGCAAGCACCCTCTACCGCGTCTTTGCCGTCATCTCCCGTCCACCAGCTACGTATGCGAACGCACGCTCATAGCTCTAGCAGCAACTCCAATAGCATCATTGATAGCTTCGATGCCGGCAGTAGTCATAGGACATCAATGTCTTCGATCGTCCCGACCTCATTTCCTAGCGCAGATCGCGCGACAACTACCGCCGTCCATTGTCAACCGAATACCACTTACCGAACACTCATTCAATCTTGCTCGACTGACAGCGGTCCCTTGGCTGACATCGCTTCTGAGCCTGGTGTGATTGAATCTGAGGGAAAGCTCACCTCTCTTTACAATAATGACGATCGGCTACCAACGGCCCAATTTATATCTCGTGCTCGAGTCACGCCATCTGGCCTTATTGAGGTGCAAGGCAATGAACCCTCCATCATTACGGGGATTTCGGCAGATGAAGAAAATTTGATACATCAGTCTCCTAATTCATTTCACTCTTCGAAAACAATTGGGTCCAATCTTCAGTCAAGTAAAAAACATCCAAGCCGAAGATCTACATTCGACTTCCTTAACTCTACCACCGGTCAATGGACAGCCAACTTGACTAAGACATTGGGCGATATCACGAACAGTGAAACGTAGGTGCTCACGTAGCCAAAAATTTCATTTGCAAAATCAACTTCCTGACGCTCAGATTTTTAGTTTTCGAACATCCAAGCGAGCTACATTAAACTTCGTGGACACGGTGGAAAAAACCTTTACCGACGTCATCACCAGTGATGCAAATCCACGTCCAGAAGTAGAGTGCTCATCTAAATTTAACTCCACTACGCGCACCAGTCCATCTGATAAAATTGATAAAGTGCCAGACCATGTTTTCGAAGGTGATTCCAATATCCACGTGTCTCACCAAGCCTCATCTCTCTGTGACCTGCATAGCGCCTTATACTGACGTGAACGCGGGTTCAGTCCCCTTCTACTAACACAGGTCCAGGTTTGATATCTCCCTGTTAGCTTAAGTACCTTTTCGCCTCTTTCTTATTAACTGTCCCTGGACAATACACGTCAATTCAATTATTGCAAATTACTCCAACACATTGTATAAATTATATATTAGTTTTATATGACCTTTGTAAATTTATTCCGTTTTCTTCCATACAAACCTGCCCACAATTTCCTTCACATCTTGTTTTGCAGTTGCACTTTATCGGTCTTTAGTAATCACTTCAGTACTCAGGGCTTTGATTTGAAGCTAGCTTGGTCTTCTTCGGTTTCACTACGCACAGGCTCTAAAGGTAGGTGGCCTCATACATTTGGGCCTTAGTGCATTTAATTCCTCATCAGACTACATGTACAAATCTCTTCAGCTAACCATCTCGATACATCACTCCTTCATCGCTAAATCATGCATTCAATGCCCCTGCACTCACTGCAGGAGGCATAACACAGTACAGAATGTAGAGTCACGCAGTATCGATCTTTTGGGTTTTGATTTGTTACTGACTCTCCTGCCATCATCTACCATGCCATACCCAATATGATCACTTTGTCATGGTAATCTTGACTCACCTGGAGCTGGGAGAAACCTGGCCCCAATATGATCTAGACATCCACCCTTCCCATCCCCTATGTCTATACTTTTTCACTACCCTCTGCTTACTTTTCGACGATGCCTCCATATAGAATTACCTAATCTATTGCCTCTAGCTCGCCAGCGGCGGAGGCGATAAAACAAATCTTGAATACTTCTTCTTTCGATCTCCTCAGAAGTTATCGCCGATCAGGGCCCATGATATGTCTGCCTTATTGCCAGACAACAGCATTCCAGTTCTGATATCTGCTCATCTCTTACAAACAACAACAATAACAACGTAAACTCCTTTATACGTCTACTGAATAAGAGTGAGCACTTCAAACCAAGAAAGCAGAAAGCCCTGCAGCTATCTCCGTTCATTGTTGGCGGAATAAAGCTCAGTTAGAAATGAAACGCACGCTGAATATTGCTAAAGCAACCAAAGGAAACCAGTCTTGATTTTCGGCACTTACTTGTTGCACTGCTATCTATTTCATCCTGACTTTTTTATGTAACAAAAAGTGCTACAAATTGGCTTTACTGCATACGACGCAACTGAGAAAATGGAAAGAAAGGACTGGTATTGTAGTACGGAGATTCGGCATATCGATAACGAGACCCGTGGCAGCGTCGGTACTGTATCTTTCCGGGGTAGATTTTGACTCTGGGAGTCAGTCGCGACGCGTCCCTTGCCAATCGTCGGCGATTGAACCTTCTTCCATAACCTGTTTTCCCTTTGATTATGCCTGGACAGCGCGGGTTCAGAGGCAAGTCGGGACCTACCTATAATGCTCGGGGACGAGGCTCACGATTTCGAGGACGCGGAAACTATAAATCTACGAACAAATCCGGTTCAACATCTGTGTCTCGAACTGCTGACGGGTTGGTCCTCGAATCCCAAGCTGACCGAGAAGGAACTGAACAACAAGAGAAATGGAATGATGCCGTGCAAAACCATGAGCTGGACGAAAAGTTGGGGTTCACTCGAATCGAAGACGGCAGTCCAAGAGTGGGCTGGCTTATCAACATTCAGCCGGTAATTAGCCCTTCTTATGTTTCTTAACATGAATGTATTTAACTAGATTGATGGCTTTTGCCCTTCAGACACTCGTTCAAGAAACATCTACCGAGGCCGTGCCTGACAAGTCACCTTCACAACCAAATGCAGCCGTCGATTTATATTTCATCCAAGACGACGGTGAAATGTTTAGGGCGACAATGTCGTACAGGCCTTACTTTTACATTGCAACTCGCTCTGGGAAAGAAGGCGAGGTTGAAGACTGGTTGCAAAGGAGGTTCGAAGGTCTATTCTTCAAATCTGAGAGGGTGTTCAAGGAAGATTTGCAACTGGTACGCTCTCATGATATCACTACTTGGTAAAGAGTACTTCAACCTTTCTCTTTCACCTTACATACACAGCCAAATCATCTCACAGGCTACCGGCGACAATTCATAAAGATACATTTCCGTAATATTGAACTGCTGCTTCGGGTTCGGCGCGAATTATTGTCACTAGCGACCAAGAATCGCGATAAAATGGATGCCTTAGACACTTATGCTGAGATGATCCAAGGGGGATGCAGCAATCTTGACCTGGCCGATATGGAAGACGTAGAGTATACTCAAGAAGACGATTACCTCGAAGTCGAAGGAGGAGCTCAACGCAACAGGCATAAATCCATGGCTACAGCTAAATCGCATGCAGCCTCTGCCGCAGCGACGGACCCCGCTGAATGGATAATTGACATCAGGGAGTATGATGTGCCATACTATCTGCGAGTCGCTATTGACAGAGGCAAGCAGTTTCCATATCGATCAGCATTTACGTATATATGTATATTAACATGGCGCGTCTCCATGTAGACTTACGTGTCGGGTTGTGGTATACCGTCACGGCCACTCATGAAGAAGTCTTATGTTTTCGCATCCCGGATCGAGTTGAACGTGCTGAGCCTGTCGTGATGGCGTATGATATTGAAACCACCAAGGCCCCACTGAAGTTCCCTGAGTCCAGTTCCGATCAGATCATGATGATATCATACATGATCGATGGTCAGGTATGCATTTTCACTGGTTTTGGCTCAGTGGAACATAGCTCATTGCAACTTCTGCGCGCTCAAGGGATTTTTGATAACCAATCGTGAGATTGTGGGGGACGATATTGATGACTTTGACTACTCACCTAAACCTGAGTATGATGGCCCATTCACCATATTTAATGAGGCTTCTGAAGTCAGTTGGTCACATTTTCTTAAATTTACTGTCTACACCTCAGCTGATCATTACTTCGTGTCGTCGTATAATGGCCAGTCTGCTCTTATCCGGCGTTGGTTTGAACACATCCAACAATCTCGACCCACGGTAATAGCTACCTACAACGGAGATAGTTTCGATTTCCCTTTTGTTGCCGCGAGGGCATCAGCCCATGGTATCGATATGTTCAAAGAAACCGGCTTCCGCCTAGACTCCGAAGGAGACTTCAAATCGAGGACGTGTATTCATATGGATTGTTTCAGGTACTTACCTGGTCCTTGGATGACTGCTTCTCAATCAATTTTTATTCATATTACCTTTACATCTTAGATGGGTGAAACGAGATTCTTACTTACCCCAGGGTAGCCAAGGTTTGAAAGCCGTGACTGTTGCTAAGCTGGGTTACAACCCCATTGAGCTTGATCCAGAACTCATGACACCGTGCGTGGACAAGTTACAATTTATCTCTCCGGCGCGTAGCTAGTCTGACAATTTCTTTGATGTAGATACGCAATCGAACAACCACAAGTTTTGGCTCAGTATTCAGTTTCTGATGCTGTTGCCACTTACTACTTGTACATGAAATATGTTCATCCTTTCATCTTCTCTCTATGTAACATTATACCCCTCAATCCGGATGAGGTCTTGCGCAAAGGATCAGGTACTTTGTGTGAAACGCTTTTGATGGTAAGGACAGGGCTGTTATGATGATGATGTATTCTACTGGGTTCCTGACGGTCTCATTGGTATCTATATCACTCAGGTGGAAGCTTATGTGGGAGACATTATCATGCCCAATCGACATGTCAACGCGCATGGAACCATGTATGAAGGTCACTTGTTGGAAAACGAGACTTACGTAGGAGGCCATGTAGAAGCACTGGAAGCCGGTGTCTTCAGGTCAGACATACCATCTGATTTCAAGCTGGTGCCAAGGAGATGCCAACAAGTAAATTTAGTTTTGCCTTGCTTGCCAAATCTGATATCAAAGCATTATGTAATGTCTGGAGCTGACTACTCGTTCCTATGACTGCATAGCTCATAGACGACTTGGATAGCGCCCTGAAATTCAGCATCGTCGAAGAAGGTCAATACTCGTTAGAGGACGTTGTCAATTATGATGAGATCAAATTCGCTATCCAGTCCGGACTTGAAACGATGCGTGACCACCCTAACAGACAAGACACACCTCTCATATATCATCTTGATGTAGCAGCGATGTATCCCAACATCATGTTATCCAATCGTCTTCAACCTGACTCGGTTGTCGATGAGGCCACCTGTGCTGCTTGTGATTTCAATCGGCCAGGTAAAACTTGTGACCGCAGAATGACCTGGGCGTGGCGAGGAGAATACTTTCCTGCCAAATTGGATGAGTACAAGATGGTCCGTAATGCCTTGGAATCAGAGTCTTTCCCGCCTAAATGGCCCAACAACCCTCCGCGTAAATTTAGCGACTTGGCACCTGCAGAACAGACGTCATTACTTCACAAGCGACTCGGAGATTATTCGAGGAAGGTCTACAAGAAGACGCACGAGACCAAGATCGTAGAGAAAGAGGCGATCATCTGTCAACGAGAGAACCCATTCTATATTGATACTGTCAGGGCGTTTCGAGATCGTCGATATAAGTACAAAGGACTTCACAAACAGTGGAAGACGACGGCTGAAGTAACTCAAAAAAACGGCGGATCTGTTGGGGATATTGCTGAGGCCAAAAAGATGATTGTCATTTACGATTCGTTACAACTTGCGCACAAGTGTATCCTCAATTCATTCTATGGATATGTGATGCGAAAAGGAGCGCGTTGGCATTCAATGGAAATGGCTGGAATCACATGTTTGACTGGCGCTAAAATCATTCAAATGGCTCGCGAGATCATCGAGGAAGTGGGTCGACCGTTGGAACTTGACACGGATGGTATATGGTGTATGCTTCCAGGGATTTTTCCAGAAAATTTCAACTTCAAGCTCTCAAACGGGAAAACATATCGCATATCATATCCATGTTCAATGTTAAATCATCTCGTACATCAGAAGTTTACCAATCATCAATATCACGAGTTCAACCCACAATTCAAAAAATACGATGTACGTGCTGAGAACAGTATATTCTTTGAGCTGGATGGTCCATATAAAGCTATGATTCTACCATCTTCAAAGGAGGAAGATAAACTGTTGAAGAAACGTTACGCCGTCTTCAATCCTGATGGGTCTCTTGCAGAGCTCAAAGGCTTCGAAGTCAAACGTCGTGGTGAACTGCAACTTATCAAAATATTTCAAACTGCGATCTTCGAGAAGTTTTTGAAAGGCAGCACATTGAAAGAGTGCTATGACGCAGTGGCAGAGGTTGCCAATCGATGGCTAGATGTCTTGTCAACAAAAGCCATCTCAATGCATGATGAAGAACTTATTGAACTTATCTCTGAAAACAGAAGTATGTCGAAAACACTCGCAGAATATGGAACTCAAAAATCTACATCAATCCGCACTGCTAAACGCCTGTCGGAATTCTTAGGAGAACAGATGGTGAAGGATAAGGGTCTATCGTGTCGCTTTATCATCTCGGCGAAGCCTTACGGTTCTCCCGTCACCGAAAGAGCAGTTCCAGTTGCAATTTTTTCGGCTGAGCCTAGCGTACAGCAACATTACCTTCGCAGATGGCTCAAAGACAATTCTTTGGTCGATCTCTCCCTACGATCCATACTTGACTGGCCTTATTACACAGAGCGACTGGGATCTGTCATCCAAAAGCTGATCACCATCCCTGCTGCCATGCAAAAGGTCTCGAATCCTGTCCCGAGAATACATCATCCAGATTGGCTCGCGCGTCGATTGGCTACACGGGAGGATACTTTCAAGCAGCACAAAATCACAGACATGTTTTCTCGACAAAAGCCAATTCCACAAGATGTCATCTCTACCCGAGACCTTCTTCAGGCTACAGAGACAGCGCTGACAACCAAATCCCACGAGGTCCGTGAACCACTCCCATCGCGTCCTAGGCCTGACATCAGCGTAGATTACAGTGGCTGGATAGCTGCGATGAAGCCTGTTTGGAAGGAGCAGCGCATGGCTCGGAAATCGGAAAGGACCATGGGCCTTTCTCGTGCTTCCGCTCTACGATCCAACAAGGGTGACATCACGTCACTGCTACAACAACAAACACGTCGATTAGCTTCCTCCTTGATGGAGATCGTTCATATCTTGCCCGATCCTCACAAACCCGGGGAGTTTCGTATCTGGTGTTTGGTTCAAGAAGTCTTACATCCGCTGAAAGTCATCATTCCTCGTGAATTCTACATCAACTTGAAGCGTCATCCAGGTCCGAATTTCTTTCCGAAGTCTTGTCATGTCGAGCCCGTGGTCAAAACGTTACCTCGGTCCCAAACGCGCTTGTACTTGTACAAAGTTTCGGTCGCTGAGAATGCATTCATTGAGGATGCCTCTGAGTATCTGCGCATGTTTACTGCCCCTGAAGTTGAGGGAACATACGAACTTCAAGTTCCGCTGGTGCAACGCGGCCTCATTCACTTGGGAAACGCATTCACAGTCTCTTCGACAAGTAAGATCTCCATTGCCAAGGGCTTCGATGTGGGTTTCGATCTCGCCGATCTTTGCAGTATTGAAAGACCTTTGTCTGGACGATCTTATCTCGATTCAGGGAAGGCACTCCGTTATATCGTAATCTACCACTTTTATCGTGGTTCCAGGCATGCGATGGGAATATTCTGCCCAGGATCACATGCTCGAATCTACCTCACCGATCGCAATACATCTCCACAAATCCCCAACATGCAGACTTATTATGAAACGTCTTTTCAAGCTCGCGTAGAAGATATCAAATTGAATCCTGGAGTATTTCAGTATGAACCGAATCTTCAAATTGAGGCAATCAATGTAGCAACTGAGGCACTCGGTCTCAAGGCACTCAATCGTGACCTTTCAACTCTCAAAGGCAAACGCATTGCTTCAGACTATGTTGTGATGATACATTCGGACAAGGACTACGCTTATTATGACGATGGGATCACGTCGATGTCCAGATTTCCTACCCTGATGATTCATTCAAACAAAGCAGATAACAAGTTTGAAGCCTTTGGTTGGCAACGTTACGCTGCTGAGCGTATGGTGCAGCACTTTCTTAGAGCGTCTTCCTTCATACAGGAGCGTATCCTGCAAGCAGAACAATTTGATGTACCAGTGTGCAACTTCGAAAGCGATGCAGCTTCTTTCTTGATGGATCTCGAGTTCTGTAAGAAGCTCACCCGATCAGACCATATCCTATGGTGGTCTTCATCCCCCAAGCCCGATTTGGGGGGTAGAGAAAACGACATCAATGCTCAACAAGTCTTAGAAACCTTATCGAGTCCCGAGATATCTGTCATGGGAGCATATTCTAATGCGTCAATTGAGTTGAGCATCGTAGACCTGGCCATAGACGCCGTCTTGCAGTCTGCGACGGTATACGAAGGAGACAAGGGTGAAAGTACGATCGGCTTTCAGAACGCTTCTCACAACCTCGATGATTATTCCAAAGGTTCTGCAAACTCGCATCACATATTAGGCGATTCAGACCTAACAACTCAGACATTCGCCTTGTTTCGATCGATGGTCAGAGTTTGGATGGCTGAAAGTGTTAAAAGCAATGGACATCATTACCGCGGATTGATCAGACATTTCTGGCGCTGGATCAGTAGTGCATCATCTAAAATGTTCGACCCTGCGCTTTATCATTTTGTGCATGGCCTGATGAAAAAAGTCTTCTCTCAACTCTTAACGGAATTTAGGCGACTAGGCACTAAAGTTATATACGCCGACTTTAGCCGAATTTTTCTTCTAACATCCAAGACAACTTCATCTAACGCATATGCGTATTCTTGCTACATTGTGTCAGCAGTCAATAGTAGAGACCTTTTCAAATTTTTGGAACTAGATATTGTTCGCTTCTGGGATCAGCTCTTATGGGTAGATGTTACTAATTTCGCAGGTATCATCTGCAATCGTCCTGATGCGACAGAAGACAGCGGTGAACTTGACCTTCAGCATGTTGACATGCATTGGAATATGGTCAACTTTCTCCCTCCAGCAGTCCAACAAGATTTTCTCCAGGTGATATGTGTATTCATCCATGACATCAATCAATGCAAGAGTCAAACGACATCTGATCACTCCCAGTCGCAGCCGATAACTGACGCAGATCACAAACAAATGGAAGCAGAACTTTTGCGCCCTCTGATCAAGCAAAAGCTTACTCGGCAGCTGATGAAGCTTGTAACGAGCCTGACAGATCGGCAAATTGAAGCTATGAGTCAGTCCGACACCCGGGCCACTTTTGAATTCCCCCGCCTACCTGGATCTCACATCCTGATGAAGAAGCCGGTCCTTGAGTTTGTGAAGATGATTTGTTTCATCATGGAGTTAGCAAAACCGGTTGCTTCTGAGATCAGAACGATGAAGCGTCTATTGTTGGATTTGATCGGAGTCCGTGAGTTTGCTAGTGAAGCGGTTTTCAAAAATCCATGTGTTCCCTTCGCGATTCCAGTCACAATTTGCAAGCATTGCAATGTCATGAGAAATATCGATCTCTGTCGCGACCCAGACCTTCTCCCTTCAGCACGCTCCTCGTCTGCTAATCATTCATCTGATTGGCACTGTGCTCATTGCGGCCATGAATATAACAAATTGGCCATTGAGACCAGCATCGTAGAACAATTGGGAAATCAAGTCAGTATGTTCCAACTGCAGGACATCCGATGCTCGAGATGCTCTCAAATCAAGGCGGACGACATGAGCTTACGATGCCACTGTTCAGGCGAGTATGAATTGAGTGGCAATGGGCAATCTGGCAGTCATCGTGATACAAGGCAGCAGATCGTCAAGCGACTACGTGTGGCTCGAGATGTCGCTGAGGCACATGGAATGGATATCCTGTTAGATTTGGCAAATTGCTTTTTAAGTCAACTTTGATCGGGTCGGTCAAATAAGTGATCAATTGTAAGTGTTACAATGGCTTCGACCTGTGTTGCACAAGAATAATAAAACTGACGAAGTTGGAAATCTTCTAGGCCTCGTGTGCTCCATTCCAAGGCATGAAGTTTTCTGCGAAACCTCAGAGCTATTCTAGGATTTTAGCCTAATTTTTTCTCGCAGTGTTAGTTGCATAGATCGTTGAATTATAATATGTTGAGTGTGTAGGAGAGCTGGCCCTGGTCTTGTCTATACGTTTCTGCCCTGAGTTTTGTTTTGTTTTGATTGATCCTGTATATTTCACGCAATATACGTTTTTGTTGGAAGCATTGAATCCGTGTTGTGGTAAAAACAAGGAAAACACATGGAGTTTGACACAAGGTCTTATATATATGCATGTATTTGGATAGCCTCTGCCCCTAGACATCCAATTCTTTGTCATGGCATCATAGATCCTTCATTACTCACGAGATGAGTAAGGATGATCTTGTCTGAAAAGAACGGGTGTCTTGCTGTGACCACGCTATCTGACAACTTGTTTCCAACGCATTCCCATGTCACTGCGCATACATACCAACACTTATCTTCACCACCAACATATTTACCTCGGATTACGAAATCCGAGGTATCCTCGGATGCAAAACCTCGGACAGAAGCTTCCCGAGGTTTTGATCCGAGGTAATTCTCAGGGCAAAAAAATACCTCAGGCAAAAACCTCGGACAAGGTTTGTCCGAGGATTTGCCTCCAATGATGCCTCGGGTTGAGAAATCCGAGGCATCTATGCTGGCAGTGCTTTTGGGTTCCTGAGGCCAAGATTGAGCTTCAATAGAAATATTCATCTTCAGCCCCTAGATGAGGCTTAGGTACTCAGCTGCCCCTTAATTAGGTGCTAGGTCCAAACATTTGACACTTTCTGTAGGATTATCTTTTTGAAAAGATATTTGTCAACTTGCCCTTCAAATATTTAGATTTCAGCTGTCTAAATGTCATGGGTTAGCATTAAAGTCTAATGGTGCATCATTGGGCCAACCAGTCAAATTTGGTTTTGCAGGTGGGCTTCTTGCACAATTCTATGTTCAAACCAAACCAAGTTTCCAAAAAAACCGGCACACCCAATTGACTCTTTGGCTGGAAGATGACAATAAATGTCAGGTTGATACAGTCAACTCTCAGCATGTATAAGCAAGCCCTGTGTATGAAGATCACTATATGTACAATTTTATGTGTTTGTTTGGTATACATGAGTGCCCTGCTAAGACAACAGTGCTTGAAGCATAATGGTCAAATCATGAGATTGGTGAAAATCTGCCCTAAATATGCCTTCATCTCAAAACATTTCTGTGTATGTATCCAGATTCCTCACAAGAAAGGGAGAATATGCTTTCATGGGGATTTCCAGTGTAATATGTGCAACTAATGAGTGGTATCACTGTGTTCCAACAGGGCCAGAAATGACCCCATTTGCCCAGATTACCTCTCATATTGGTACCCCTGCAGCTAATCCTCACCCTAAACGCTTAATTCAAGGCAAAGAGGACCAAAGTTGAATTATGCTTACTTCACAATTAATTCACTCAATGACAGCACATCATATTTTCTATTAAAGTTGATGGTACAGTTACTCCTATTTACTGCCAAAAAAGCAACTGGCTGTACCAGGATCAACATTAGTCCCTACATCCATCATTAAATTCCAATTGAAGGCCAATCAATATGTTATGATGTTATGTTGCTGTCACTGATTGTGTAATGTTTGTATTACATCATAGCTTATATGTCAATACAGTTATCTATCTAAGGCTTAGAACCTATTAGCATAGTTTATATATCTATTGTAGATTTGTTGTTAGATTATATTGATCTCTTTCTTCACCTTCCCTATATATTTCAACATCTTTGTTTTAGTGAGAATCAGTCTTATCACAATCAATCTTGTGAAGAATTATTAATGGAGCTAGGGACAAAAGGGGTACAGTGGAAGATTGATCCAACACTCACAAACAACACATGATTTAAATTTTGCACCAGCTTAGAAAAAAATCATGAATTTCAACCCAACTGTCACTTTTTTGTGTTTATCTGAATACTAACAAAGTGGACCACTGACATGAATTTGGTCATGTTCTTAAGCTTCTCTATTGCTTGTGCCTGCCTCTGGATATCATGTCTTCTCTTTCTTTTTTCCATTACTCAGCTATTGGTGTCAAGCTTATGTCAATTCCACTGCATGTGATCTGTTTGATTTCTGTTCCATGTTCATATTTCCTCTTTGCTTTATTTCATGCACAATTCCGGCCATCAGTCTTTGAAATTGGTGTTTGAAGTCAAGAATTTGTCAAATCTGCTTTTTGTTAAGCCCATATGCATTGCTTGATCTGATTTTCAATCTTGTCAAGAGCTTTCCACACCACACCTTCACCTAGGGCCCATGCTTGCCCTGAGTTTTGAAATCCAGTCAACCTTAGGGCACAATCACTTGAGCAATTTTCAGTCAGAAATCACATTCTGCAAGATTGAAAGTGCTGGTTTGGTGGAGTATGGTTCATTTTTGCATTTTAAAATTTACAGGATGCAATCTCTGTCCAGAAATTGCTCAAGTGAATTTGCCCTCACTTTCCCTTCACTTTGTGCTATTGATTTACATACTTTTTAATTTTTTTCCTGTTCCCTTTTGTAGCATCTTAATACTTTTTCATGTAACTTTTGGTTTGTAGTGTGCTATTAAATTCAGTACTCTCTTAAATTTGGTCCCCATTTTGCCTTATACAAGACACCCTTCTAATCCCTTCCAAAAATAATATTAATTGACAGAATTCACAGAGTGTGCAGAGATATTTGATAGCCCATTCTCAGAAAGGGAAGAGGCTAGAGATGCGGGAGTTGTTTCAAATAGGGCTTTTAAAGGTTTTAGATGCTAAAACACTAGACGACCCCGGAGGGCCTGAGCGGATTGCAGTGAGAGAAAAAGCCAGAGACCCTAGGGGCGGTCTAACACTACCAGTACAATAAGAATAAAAGATAACCCTGGGAGGGATGGTGGGAAGACAAAAAACACGCTAAAAACCTAAGAATAATAAGAGAATCTTTGTTGATAATAGAATGGATGAGGATACAAAAGTATGAATGTTAACTTGATAGAAGAAGAGCGCGAGAGCTGAAAACCAATTTCTAACAAATGTTAACCAAAATCAAGATCTTGAAAACCGTACAGAAGTGCTCATTACCAACACGTCATAGGAGCTTAAGAAATGAGAGAAACATTTATAAGCCATTTCCTTCTTTCACAACCTGACCACTCCTTACACCTATTCCCCTATGTTAAAACACGTTCCAACTACATGGAAGAGGCTGGAGATGCGGGAGTTGTTTAGAATAGGGCTTTTAAAGGTTTGAGATGCTAAAACGCTAGACGACCCCGGAGGGCCTGAGTGGATTGCAGTGAGAGAAAAAGCCAGAGACCCTACCACCCACTAAGTATATGACCTTTGATGGTAAATAAAAGAATGGTTGATGAAGAGCAAATGAAATTTGCGGGTAGGTTCGAAAGGTTGTAGACTTTAGAAAAAGAGCAAGGTAAACAATCTTGACAGAAATCAGAACAGGAAGTTGACAAACAATGCAACTTACTGACTGGAACGTGACTCTTATGCTGGCAGACCAGGAAAGGTATGTGAAAATTGTGTGAAAAAGGCTGAACAGTCAAATCAACAAGGGTCAGCAAGAATTCTATGGTTGAAGTAGGGGACCTACTCATCAAACACTGGTAGATCAGGTGTAGAACCAGGATATTGTCTTTCAGATCTCTGCCGGAACACGGGACTGTAGAAAGGAAAAGAATAAAGTTAGACTTCATCTTGAACCACTCAGACAGAGAGGTACTGGACTCACACAGGATGAGCCAGGAAAGATAAGCTGCTCTCCAAGAGTGGCACCAGAAGCAACGCAGCCACAGTTACTATACCAGTATAGTATCGGCGATACCCGGTATAGTAACTAACCTACAATACTACTCTCAAGATACTTGAGTAAAGTACCGCCAAACCAATACTGTTACCCGATACGGTATCGGATTCCACAATACCATGGCAGATCAGCTCAAGTAAAGTAACACCGATACTATGTACGATACTGATACTGTATTGAGTATCAATAATCTTATCGATACTTTCTCAATACCGATACCATTACTGGTATCAGTGGCCAAATAGCATATCACAGTAGTATCAATTCAGTTGAGTGGGGATGAAAAGGACAAGACAAATCAAACAATTTAAAAAAGTAGCGTGTATGAAAAGAAATGTCACAGACAATAAAACAAAAGGCGTGTTTGAGTTTAGAAAGGAGAAGAGATAAAAAAGGCAAAGACAAAAAAGACAAAGATAGAAAAAAAGACCAAAGAAATATAATATTTTTACTGTTTGTATTTGTGTTTATCCCCTCCTTTTACAATTTGCTTTGTCCAATGCCATACTGTCTGACATGCATCTTTGACAATCTACAAACTTGTCACCTGCTATTAAAACCTCATCTTTTGACCACATCTGAGATCCTACCGAGCGCTCCACAGTCTGAGGTTTCAACGCACCTCGATCGCGGCAACAGACATCTGCAGCAGCTGAGAAAGTCCTCTCAACTGCACACGATGCCCCACAGACCGCCAAATAATCTCTAGCCAGAGACGAGAGTACTGGGTATCTTACCTCATTCACCTAGTGAAAAGATGATGTAAAACAATAAGTCAGTTCAAACACATAAAATGAATAAATATAAGTTTATTTTTACCTTCCACCATTCTAAGACGAGATGAGCGTCTTTTTCCACTGCCTTCAATGGCTCATCAACACGCTCGAGGTAGTTGCAAAGTTCATTCTCTGAGCAAGTCTGTACTTTCTTTCGATGTGCTCGAAATCCATCATCATCATTGTCCTTGTCATTTGAATCAGTTGTACCAACAGGATTCTTTTGACCAGCATCCATTTTGCGCTTTTGAATATCAAACACGGTTTGTAACAATCCTTGAGCAGCTTTGTATTCATCAGAATTATCCCCAAAAGCAAATTGGAAATAATCCGTTCGCCAGCTGGGGTGAAGGATAGTGGCAAGCATTAAGACATCGGACTTGAGCGCTTCTGCTAAATAAGACTTAACCCGGACATGCATCGCATGGTAGATTGGGAAAAGAGGATCGGCTCGGGAACTACATGAATCGATTTTGTCTTGAAGTGATTTAACAAGCTTGACATATTGAGGAATGACTAGAGATCCAGTTGGAGCGTCGGCTTCAAAGACCTTCGTCAGTGTTTGAAATTCCTGAATTACAGATATGTTATTATATCAATTAATAATTGATACAGTGGTGGTGTAGTGAAATAAAAGCAAACTTACACGAAGGACCTTGATCAATCTCCCTACTTGCTTCCATTGTTCAGGGGAGATGTAAGCTTTATTGAATATACCACGCGGTTGATCTTGATTCGGATCCGTAGGTCCCAGTTCGGCATTTTGACGTTTGTTGTTTTTTCCTTTAGAGATCTCCTTCTGATCTTCTTTGAGCATTCGGTTGATTACCTGAAATCAAAGTAGAATTAGATACAACTTTATTAAGAGAAGTGGAAACTCACTAACCTCTTGGGCATTAAACAATCTTTCCCAACATTGAAGCTTGATATTCCATCGGATTCCATAACCTGGAATCGGTTGAGGAAAAGAAACATCCATACTCTTGCAGGTTGCATCAAAAACTTGCAACATTCTCGACAATCCTCCAATCTTCTTAGCTATTTCATCAAGCTGAGACAAACTTCATCAGAAATCTTGTAAAGTAAAAATATTTGTCGAATTTGAAAGTACATACCACAAGTGTCAAAAGATATACAGCATTAGCCTCTGTACGGTTGGTTGCAGGCTGAGCAGGAGGAGCCTCATGCGGACCATTGATGACATTGTACAATAGATCACCGACCTCTTTTCCTGGTAAATCAGCAAGTTCATTCTCATCTTCATCTTCTAATTCGATTTCGCCTATATCTTGTTCTTTATTGATAACAGGATCTTGATTATCTTCGTCTTCTTCGGGAATAGAAGTCATACAATGTTCAGAAAGGGGGAATTCGCCGAGAATAGTCGACTTGACTAAGGGAGGTGGTGGAGCTTGAATTCCCATCGCCTGAAGGCCAGCATTCACAAGCAAAGCAATTTTGTGACCAGCACATCGAACTCGGTCAGTTGACTCATTGTAATCGAATTCTTCGTAGTTGTCCTTTGCAATTTTCGAAAGGCGTGCTTGCATTGCACGAGCACACGTATCGTTATTACCACCTGAATCATGAGTCTGTGAGACCATGTGTGATTGGTGACATAGGTATGTCAGCCAGTTTCGGTCAGGTAATATAGAACAAAAAAACTTATCTTTGAGTATAGCTTGTGCTTCACAAGTATGTTGATTAGTGGCTCAGCCAACCATTCCCCCTTATGATGCCATGCTATCATTTTCATGGACAAGTGACGGGTCACATACTTCCAATGAGAATTGATGTATGTGACCGAAGCTGATATAAATCTGTATCGGTTTTGAGGCGAAGTCCAGGCATCAAGAATCAGTCCAAACTTGGATGTGTTTGCCTAAAAACACATCTCAGTCAGTTTGTTATGAACCAAATTCTCAACAACAAAAGTGAGTGAGATTGATGGTTAACTTACTTGAAGGTCCGAGATAACAGTTGATCTAAGACCAAGATACATCTTGTGAGCAAAGGAAGCTACCCAAGTACGACCATAGAGTTGAGCTAGAGGGTTTGCATATCGAAAAGCGGCTCGAAGGGCTGGATCTTCCATTCGTCGCCAAGGTTGAGAAGTCCGGACAATCCACATTCCGATCATCTGATTTAAGATTGGGTTGGAAAAAGAAGTAGATTTGGGAAAATAAGAATCCATCGCAGTTTGAGTCA